TGGCGCTTCCCAAATCCCGAACCCCCCTTCCCACTGGCTGCCATGCGGCCGCAAAGTCGCGCGGCCGCGCGGACACGTCCGCGAGGTCGCGGACTTGATCCGCGGATGGCTGTCGCCGAGGGAGATTCGTAGGCAAGAAGGCAACTCTCCTTGCATCACCAAATCATTCAAAACCTTACGTACTTCAGCAACCTTAATCTGACCATCGAAAGTCACTCAAAAATTTGGATAGCGCTCATGCTCAAGTCAAAACGATCCGAAAAATTATGGAGACTAACCGGCGTAAGTATTTACGATTCGATTTTCGATTAAAGTCTTTGATCGCATTGTAAATTTGAGGCAACGAATTTATATTCCAACCATAAATCTCACTTACCCTCCCTGCGTTCGGTTGAATAGAAATCAAAACATTCTTCAGGTAACGACACTTAGGCTTCCATTTCCAAAGATGCACTACTCGGAAACAACCTCCCTGTTCTCTGAGCTTCTTCACATCTTTTAAGGTCAAAATCAACCCTTCATGTCTCAATTTTGTGTGCCCGAAGGCTTTGCCAATATTCTTCAGCTCCACCTGCCAAGTGTCACCTCCTTCAACAAGAATATTGAGCTCTTTTCGTCCCTCAATGATAGCAGAATCCAGCAAACGATATAGATCAACACACCATGGTTGGTTTGGTAAAAAGGGGAACCGGATGATCTTACAATCACCGAAAGGGTGTACGTTTGTTCCTCTCCTCTTAGCTCATTCTCTCTGCCCTAACCGTTTCTTCTTCCTTTCATTCCCTCGTAAAACTCCTGACTTATTGAGGAAAGGGGACCATCGCCTAATGTACACCTCTTCACACTTGCCTAGTTCTTCACGATCCAGGTGGTCGATAAGGATTAGGACATAGTTTCCTACACTGAAAGAAAGTAGTCACCGATGAAAATGTGCAAGTGTACGAGACTTACACACATACACATGCTCAGGCCACCTAGTTGTCACATCCCTTATAGTTTTTCCGACATAGAAAGATTTACAATACGAAAAAATGGCAATATACACCACATTAGTCAGCTGTAGGAAACCTATTTCATGTTTATCGTACATCCACAACCATGCATTGATACAGCACTGACTCCATCTAATTTCTCCAACAACCGGAAGTTGTAGGACAATAAGACGCAAAATCTCCTTAACGTGAGCATCTACACCTGAATCACCTGATGACATACATTGAAAGTTCGTAAAAAACTTACCCAATTTCCAAAAAGTCAGTATCTCTCATCCTCGTCAGTCCTCCTCCTGAACTACGGGTGCATCCCTAGTCTCGATGTCATCGACTTCAACCACTTCCACATCATTGACAACACTCAGGTTGTACTTCTCACACGTTCTGCTTTCGGCAATCGCAAAGATGGCATTGATCTTACCATCGTACGGCACTCCCTCCTCCTTGCAGATCCGTTGCAATTCTGTTGCATCCAAGTCCTTAATTCTTCATGACAGAGTCGCGAAAACGAAGACGTTGCAGTGCACCCTTCGTTACTGGCGTACCCGCTTTAGCAGGTGTTGTCTTCGGTGTCTTCCGAGTAAGGGGGTTTTCACCAGGGACTTTTTCACCCTCCCAGATCCTGGGGTCTTCGCCTTCATCTTCGATCTTATGAGACGTGTGGCCAGCTTGGTAGGTTTTTAAGCCCCTCGTTTCAGAGTACGTTTGTGCGGTAATTCCATGGGCGGGTTGTACATTTGGGCGGTGATTCCATAGGCGCGCTATTATCAAAGACAGGCTCCGGCCCACGTTTTCTCTTCTCAGAGATACATAACTTATCCGCCTTCACACTCAGCTCCTGCGTCACACTGGTATCGCTGTCTTCATCATCGTCGTGTTCCACCGCTGAGTCACTAGATGACGCATATGTAACCTTCTTCTTTCCTTTCTTTGAGGGAGCTCAAGGACCCGATCAGGTCCTTGAGCTCCCTCAAAGGTTCGATCACACTCTTCACCCTATGCGTGAAGTTCTCTTCTATCTCGCTAAGACGAATAGCAAGGTGAATATCATTCTCTATTTGTAATTCATTGCGTCCGCCTCACGCTTCACTTCCTTCTTACACTTCTCTGCCTTCTTCTTGGCTTTTTACTCAGCTTTCTCTTTCTCCTCGGCTTCACGCTGTTCCGCCTCCTTTTTCTCCTGCTTTCGTCTCTCTTTTTCCTCCTTCAGTTGCGCTTCATCGTAGAAGTCCATAACGACAACCGATTTACTGAGTTCCATCACTGTGGTCTTCATGTCGTGGCTCATCTTTGGTGGTGAGTCCTGCCTCCGTCGACAGTCGTGCCTCCTAGATTACCTTAATCCTCTTGAGTCCGTCGTGGTGGAAGGTCAGTCAAAGCAATCCCGTCGTCGATTTCTCTTCGGGCATTGATTGGCGTAATGACCCGGTTCCCTGCACACAAAGCACGTTGGTGCACGATACCTCCTTCGATCGTCCTCCCTCCAGTCATCATTTCTCTGGTCATCGTATCTCCGATCGTCGAACCTCCTATCATCATACCTCCGATTCTCTCCTCCCGGCCAATCTCCCTCCCGTGAATCATTTTCTGGCATGACAAATAGGCTACTCCACCCACGGTAATATCGAGGGTTATAGCCGCTCAATCCTTCGTAGGGATACGTGGACCACTTCAGGGGTCTCACCACCACGTCAAACCTCCTTCGTCAAACTTCGTTGTCTTCTATCCCCGCCTTCGTTGTCTTCTATCCCTGCGCACTTAGTCACGTAACTCTTGGTAAAATCGAGTCTTTGGGTAAATCCGCAACACAGAATAACACAGTCACTCAACCCAACATACTTGACTACAGGCAAGTTATCGTGCGCAATCTGCAGGTATAGGAAAGGTGAGAGAGTAGTCATACGACAACTCAGTAGTTGACAAAATCAACTACTAGCAAAATGCAATTGGTAAAACAAAGAAAAACTCAGAGTTGGCGTCCCCGACGCGTTTCGACGGTCGCCACGCCATCATCCTGAGGGGGATTTCCACCTTCTCACCGGTACTAACCATGCTTACCACTAACCCACTCCCGTCCGCTAAGCCGACCAGCCTCCGAAAACTAGTAGGTGTCCGAGGACGTTAGTCATGAAGGGAATTGCATGCACTGACTATATACTAGCCTACCGAACAAAAAGCCCTGTTGAATCACCGTTCCAAAGTACCAAGGCTCAAAGGTGGGCCCCTAGTTCCAGGCCAACGATGGCCTACATAGCTCGTGAGCAGTCCGAAAAAGTCATAGTAAGTGAGAGTCCTCCAAAAATCCTAATAACAGAGAGTTCTAAAAAATCCAAAAAAAAATAAAAAAACTAGAAAAGACAAAAACCCAAGGGTACCACAGACACCTGTTACGAAAGGCAAACAAACAAAACATGCAGTTCGTGAAAAGTAGACATTTCGTGAAAACTGGACTCGAGTCAAAAACTTTACGTTGATTTTTAAAAAAACTTGTTTTAAGGCTGTCACATAGAACATGCATTGACCATTATCACAAACATATGTGCATAAACCTATATTTTTTGTCAAGCAATGAGACAACTGAAACGCAAAAAAGCAAACGACATGTTATTACGAATACATTCAAGCTGCGAATTTGTTTTGCATAAGGAAAACTATTTTTTTGCAAATCATATACACAAGTCTGTGGCTGGTGAGGTAATTAGACAACATGCTTATCGAAACGAAATCAAATGAGCAAACATTTTAATAATAAAAGAAAAATGAAAACAAATTGTAAGCATAAGTTCCAACTATGCATTACAAAGAACTTTTCCGGAATAAATTTAGATTTCATTAACAAGAAATTTCTAATTTCAAAAGTGGGGCGGTAAGGAGCACTAACAAGAAACGTCACAAACGGTATTATAATAAATGGTAACATGACCATTTACTTTTTCAAACTCCTAAGTGAGGCAAGAGATACATTTTCGTCCTCATCATCCTCTCCATCAAGTTAATCAACAACGTCTATGCAGTCAGTAGTGTCAATCTCCTCCAAGGTTTTTGCTATCGTGTCTAGAGTATTCGTATACAACCCTCGGTCTGCTTTCAACAAAAAGTTATAACACAGGACTCCACAGTCCCATGAAAAAGTCTGTTCTATCGGCTTGCCTGTCACACGTCCTCGTGAATCCATAAAGTTTAATGAAAAATATTTACCATTTTCATTTTCTGCATAACAGTGCCCTATAAACTTCTAATGCTTTAAGGCTCGCTTTACTTTCACTATGAAATAAGGCTTCCCATGCTCCTCCTCGTCTCGCCTTGCCCTTACAGCCACAAATGCACCCTCCTTCAAGTCTTCAAAGCCTTCCCTCTGGTCATGAACTATATACGTCTTTCTATATCCAACACAGTGTCGTACAATCGGTCACCGTTCACGGGGTCCATGAACGAAGGTCGGTCACCTTTGTTCATGGAGTTCACGGTGAGCGGGATTGGGGTTTTATTTTTTTTTTGGCTGGGGGGGTATATTTGTTTTTATATAGGAGGGTGGGGGACATCGGAGGGTAACTCCTTATAATTTTTTCAATTTTTTTTTCACGAAAAATATTTTTTTTAATTAAAAATGATATTAAAAAAAATCAACCAGCCAAAATAAGCATTTTCGTTTGCTATTTTGTAGGTCATTTCGATTTTTATTTTTTTTCAATGTCATCACGCTGTGGGGCTTGAGGCAATTGTACCTGGTGGAGCCCCCCCCCCAAAAAAAAAAACACCACCACTCTTAAGTGGTCGGCCCATTCACAAAAAAAAAACCAAATGAACGGTCGGTCACGTTCAAGTTACCGGTGCCGGTCACGTTCACAGGTCCGGCACTGATCCAACATATAGAGACCTTTCAGGAGGATTTATATCTCCACGTAGCATCTCAACCTCTGCACGTCTGTCGGTTGGCTTGTCAGAGTTATCCGAAGCAGATAGGTTGCCACATGGCCAAGCAAATGGATGGTGCAAGCAAGCTGTATCGAAGTCTGTATTCTTTTGTTTAGTGAGAAATTGTTCCCACCATGCAGTAGACTCATCATCCATATATTTGGAAAATGTTTTCACATTTTCACGTATTCCCGACAATGATAAAGTTTTGTCGACACTATTTTCTCCTCAGAGGCTTTGATCCTCCCATCCATGCTTCGCACAACATGATGTGGAGCTGCATGCACAGTTCCGTCCGGAAGTGCCTTAAAGATATCCAAGTCATTGTCATCTTGCGGGTGCCATGACGATGTGTAGAACTGCCTACTCCAAACAGCAACACTTCCATCAGCATTTCTCTGGATACAAAAATGTTGGTTGAAGCTGATATCATGAAGGGGTGCCAAGTGATCTTTCACATAAGCTTTCCAGTCGTAAACTTCAAACACCCGCTCAACATGGACACCAGCATATTTGGTGTATGATTGTCTGATCACCGTCTCCAAAGCAGGTAGGTCATAAGCATCCCTATGCGCCAGAGCTCTGGAAAAACAGTTGAACATCTGATCGATATTATCATGTGTGTGACCCACCAAAAGGAAGTTGAGCTTGATTTTCTCGAAAACCTTCATGTGGACCAAGTACACCAGGTACGCCAAGACGTACTTGCTTTTGTTCTCTCTCGATGTATTGTCAAGAGTCAAAAACAACACCTTTGGCAAAGGTCTTGGTAGATCCGAAGTAACTTTATGAAGCACGGTAAGCATGGAGTTCGAGTCCATGCTAAAGTTGTTGAACATCATCATGGCGTACGCTCTCTGCAGATGTCCTTCCACCTTTGCACCCACGACATGCACCTTCAAGAAGTCCGCTTCCCTAATCCTCGAATCTTCAGGGAGACGCCGAAAATGAGGAAGATTGGTCTTGCTTTGATCCATCCCATCAACAATAACGGTTACATACTTGTCCGGTGACGACTTGACTTTCTCATGGCGGTCCATCAGTTTCTGTCTTTCCATCCTTTGTGCTTCAAGATGGTAGTCCAATATTCTTTGGAATTCCTCTGTGGCAACAACACGAAAGACAAAGATGTTATCACAAGGGAGGCACATGACAAAAGTGACAACCAGTAGAAAGGAAGCCCAAAGCACGGTGGAGGAAGAACATAGCAGTGCGCAAAGCACGATGCATACCTTTCTGAATGGGCGAAATGACTTTCCCACGTTGTAGCTTTAATTGTGCACATTGGGGGCAAATGGAGAATATGTTCATTGTCGGGATGCAAACCTTCGAACAACGCTTCCTCCACACGCTCAAAAAGAATGGAAGTGACGGGACCACATCACTAGGATGCAGACGATGGAATTGAGCACTGAAAAATTCATAGACTCCCAACTTTATCAGGCAATCGGTGAGATGAAACCTGTCGGTGTTTGGCATGGACTCTGTGTTCATGCTGAAGTAGGTCTTCATCCATGTATACACAGCCATGTACCTCACAGATGGGCAGCGACTGCCGGAATTGCCATGCACATAACGGTTACCATGCACGTCGTCACGAACTGCTGCACGCACCCTAGCAACTCGCGTCTTGCACAGTCCATATAGGCGGCCCCATGCATTCGAGCAGACAAATCGATTGGGGAAAGCGGGACGCAACGTCAACAGCGTGCCATCAGCATTGAAGGTCGACACCTTTCTTACCTCCTGTATCAAAAACTCCATCTGTTGAGGTTGTCTCATAGCCCAGAACTTGCTTCTTACATCCAACACCTCCTCCAAACGGATCGTATCCACGCAGCTTCTCACGCAGCAGCCACCACGGAGAGCCGCACAGGCAGCRGCRGCCGTAACAAGCGMACGTGYWTTTTTGTCGCRGACACGTCCATTCTTGTTCCTCTTGCCAAGAATGTACTCGGTCTTCCGCCCGAATGCTGTGTAAATTTCTTTCCCATCATGCCCATTAAAGCGATCACCATGGATGTCTTCAACGCCCCCCGAGGGGCAAACCGTGTCCACAAAACTGTCCACGTCAGGAGAAGGCGGAAGATCCGTGAGGTCGAGCGAAGAGAAAACTGGGAAGGCGTCGGTCTGTAAGGGCTCGCAGAACACTCTTCTTCTCTCAAGCACGAGCGGATCAGAGAAGAGACGTTCAATCCTCTCCACGTCCCCCATAGCTCGCACATCCATCGCAAAGTGTCGATGCACGCATTCCACACCAGCGGCAGGAGGCAGGAAGTGTTTGCCCAGTCTTGACGACAACAAAAATCATCAGACCATTCACACGAACTCGGCCCGACACAACGACCAACAAACAAGTGAAAGACCTTGTCGGGACCCGACAAGCGTGAGACAGAAATGAAAGGAGTCGGGACCCAACAAACGCACGCCGGTGCCCACCGACCAGCTCGGAAGGATGTTCAAACCGTCGGTTGATGCGTCCACAACACTTTTCAAAACCCCGCCCAAACGAGAAGGAACCACGTGAATTTTTTGCGCACTTTTCACAAATTTTCGTTGTTCCCTCCGAAGCCCGAGGGGGAGCCACCAGCAGGGCACGGCAATGAGGCACGCATGAAAAGTGCGGGAGATGACAACGAAAAAAGACAATCAACTTTTTTGGCAATTTCACGACCCCTACGAACACACGGAGGACACACTAAGTAACCGACCGCAAAACGTGAACCGAGGACGCAAGGGCCAGGAAAAAACGAGGCTGAAGGGATTCATCCACGGTACCAGGAATGGCACCAAAAAAAGGAATTCAAGGCTAACGGCCAGTATTCAAAATTCGAAAGGGAACGAGGCCGAGGTGAGCACAAAGTGGGCCGAACCCAGTAAACCAGGCCGAGGCACCTAGAGGGAGCACAAGGCAGGCCGAAGGAGCCGACGACCAGGCGGGGACAGTGACTACGGGTAGCAGCCCGTGTGGCAGGTAGAGCATCAAGAAGCAGCAGCAGCGGAGACGGGGCAGAGCGCGAAGAGGGAGGTCCGAGGGAGGCGGCTCAGAGAGCCAAGAAACTGTAGCCCGGAAGGGGGTTGGGCGCCTAGCAGAGAAAACGTAGCCTACCTAACACCGATGAGGGAGGAGCAGGTGGTAGGAAAGAGAAAGGAATCCATGGCCGTTAGAGGGATGAGAGGACTGATGGACACCCAAGTGGACGAGGGGGGTGCTCTCGATCTCTCCCACTCGCCACCGGCCTCGGAGGGGAGGAAGACATCGAAGAGGACGAGGAGGAAGAGGAAGAGGAAGAGGAGGAAGAAGAGGACGATGGCCATGGGGTAGGAGAAGAGGAAGGGGATGAACAAGACCAGGCGCCGAACAAGGAGAACCAGCCAACGCAGAACTTGCCCACGATGTCGAGAGTCAACTACAATCTCGCCTACCAGTACCTAGAGCAAACGTACACATCAGCACAAACGCTCTTCGAGATGAAGCCTGACTTTGATCTCCTCGGGTCTAAGTGGGCTTTGCAGCCTACGCAGCAAGGGTTGTTCTTCTACCGTTATCTGACGAGGGCATGCAAGTACGAACCAGTCGGACTTTGCATCTGGGTCGCGAAAACCACAAGAGTCAAAGGCGGACAGGTGGTCCACGTAACGAATTTATGGATGGAGAGGAAGAAGGTGATCGCATGGTACATCCTACAGAAGAAAGACTATGTATGAGATGCTTTCAACGACCCGCAAGGCGTACTGCATCACAAGCTTTGAACAACCCCTGACGAGGTAGGTCTCGTAACAGACGTCCAAGAACAAACCAGACGTTGATTGATTGATTCATTGGTCGATTGACTGATTGGTTGATTGATTTATGGATTGATTGATTGATGGATTGATTGATTGATTGATTGATTGATTCATTGGTCCATTGATTGGCTGATTGACTGATTGATTGATTGATTGATTGATTGATTGATTGATCGATCCCCTCCTCCCCCCACATGCCTAGACGCCTCACAGTGTGTGAAGCGATTTAAAAACGGAGTCGATTACGTAATCGATTCCGTTTTGGAATCGCCTCAAACACACATCTGGGCGCGACGAACTGGCACGTGTAGGTGCCTACTTGAGGCGATTCCAAAACGGAATCGATGACGTAATCGATTCCGTTTTGGAATCGCCTCAAACAGGAACCTAGGCGCGGTGAACTGACCCGTGCAGGTGCCTATTTGAGGCGATTTCACAACGGAGTCGATTACGTAATCGATTCCGTTTTAGAATCGCCTCAAACAGGAACCTGGGCGCGGTGAACTGGCCCGTGCAGGTGCCTGTTTGAGGTGATTCCAAAACGGAATCGATAACGTAGTCGATTCCGTTTTGGAATCGCCTCAAGTAGGCACCTGCATGCGCCAGTTCGCCGTGCCCAGGTGTGTGTTTGAGGCGATTGCAAAATGGAATCGATTACGTAATCGACTCCGTTTTGAAATCGCTTCACACAGGCGTCTAGGCATGTGGGGGGACGAGGGGATCAATCAATCAATCAATCAATCAATCAATCAATTGGGGGGGAGGAGCGGCGGGGGGGAAGGAGCGGCAGTGGAGCGGGGTCGGGGAAAGGAGCAGAGGCATGGGAAGGAGCGGAGG